AACCCGCCTTTGAGGCTGCCCCAGAGGGGCGGGGGAGGGTGGGTAAGAGGGCGGGCTCTGATCCCACTGTAGCCCATTGAAAAATGTCTTTCTGACCCAGTGTTGGTGACCGACAGCGTCACAGGGATGAGAAGGCAGACTGGGTCTCTTCCCTTAACAAGGAAACAGTCACAATAGAGTGTGATCAGACTGGCACACTGGACACCCAGGGCTGTGTGAGCCAGAGGAAGGGACCCCATCCTTGTGGGGGCCAGGGGGTGGGGCACCCAGGAAGGCTTCCTTGAGCCAACTTAGCCAAGTGAGGAAGAGGGGAAGGGTGTCCAGACCAAAGGAACAGCATATGTAAAGATGTAGAGGATAACACATCACAGACTATTACGGGAACAATTAATTAGCAGGTCCAAGAGAGTCACGTGGAGGGAGGGTGACATCAGAGAGTCAGGCAGAGGGACAATGAATGGCTGGCTGGGGAATTTGGGCGTCACTCTGAGGGTACAGGGAGCCACAGATGACTTTGAAGCAGGAGAGTGACTGTTTCATTCAGAGCACAGCTGTTCCCCAGCTGCCCCTGACTCAGGTCTTAGGCCCAGGTCCCATTTCCAAAAGCCAAGCTTGCTCAGCTGCGAATGGGGGCCAGAGACATCAGGGATCCGAGATGAGTTAGGGTATCAAGCCTTCGATAATCAGAGTCCATTGGACCCTTAAGCATCCTACTCGTCCTTTGTTTTCTGAGGAAACTGAAGCCCAGAGATGGGCAGTGATTTACCCAAAGTGGCACAGCACGGGGGACTTGGCTCCACCCTTCTGCTTCCCACCAGATGTGCAGACATCCCTGACATGTGCTGCTGGTGACATCAGCTCAGCAGGAGCTGCAAGCTGCTGAGGGGGGCGGGGAGGTGCTGCGTGTGGACCAGGAGGAGGGGGAAGGGAAGCTGGCCAGACTCCTCGGCCTCCCTGCCTCCACTTTGCTGGGCTCAACAGTCCTGAGTGCAGAACCTGGGAGGCCGCAGAGCCTCTCCCACAGGGTCGTGTCCCTATGTGTGGCCCCCTTCGTTCTGGAAACGGGTGGGGAGGGAGACACATCGCTGACTCGGCACGGATGTGGGGATTAGTCTCCAGGTTCTGATTCCATCTACATGCTCCCCACTCTAAGAGACCCTCAGGCTGCTGCCAGGCCCTCGCCACCCCCCAGGTCAGTCGCCGATCCACCTGCTGTGTGGGGAAGACGCCCAGGGCCGACTTCTCCTCCAGGAACACCATTTCCTCTTCCTGGAAAGCACCGTTGGTGTCCTGGGCTCCCCCCTCAAAGATGCTCTCTTGTTCTCACTCTCTGGGTGTTTTTTCCTCTCCCCCCTTCTCGCCCCTACCCTGCGTCCCATCTCCCCCTTTCTCTTTCCTCCCCATCTTGCCTTGTCTGTCCCCATTTCCTCTCCATTCCTTAACATCCCTTCCAGGAATAGGACCGGGAAGGGGGGGGGGGCCACAATCCGGGTGCTTCCGTTCCCTGCCCTCCCCCCCAATGCCTCCTTAGGCCACTGCTGGCATGAAGCACTGTGCAGGGCCATGGACCCAAGGGAAGCCTCTGGGATGCTCGTCAGGCCCACACCCCCGTTTGTCCTGTGGGCTCATTTGAGGACAGGGATGATCTGCCCTTCAGCTCAGCTTGAGGCCCGGCGCTGAGCCCACAGGCCCAACCCCTTGTGCCACCTGCTACACAGTCTGTGCGGGCCTCACAGGCCCCGTCACGCGTGGACAAGCAGGCTGGTTGTCCTGACCCTCCGACTCCCTGTCCTGTCCCCAACCGGGATGGGGGCGGCGGGGGAGGACCCTGGATTCAGACAAAATGCCAGGCAGACGCGAGGGAGCATCAGAAATGCTGTTTATTTCTCGGCCGCCCCCTGGGACGGCTAGCCTCTTTGGAGGGGCAGGCTACAGATGCATACTTGGAGAGAAAGGCAGGATAGGTGTCCGGGGTGGAGGGGCACAGGGTGGGAGGAGATGAAGGCCATCCCGGATCCTCCGATCCTGTCTGAGATCAGGGCACAGACTCCCGAGCCCCCAGACCATCAGGGAATGCCAGGAGGCAGCGGGAACTCAAGCGGGTCACCAAGAGCCCAAAGCTATGCCAGCCACCGCCCGAGACCCTGTTCCCTGTCTGCTTCAGGTCACTTCCCTGCCAAGCCCCCAGCCCCAACCCTGTGCCCCCAGCCTTTGCCAGCTGGTCGGAGCCAGTGCCTGCAATTCCATCGGTAGGGCTTCCCCCGGGGGGTTAGGGCATCGCCCTGTTAGCGAGCTGCCCTGATGGGGGAGCACGGGCCATGTGGTTAGCAGCAATCAGCACCGCACACGGTGAGTATGGGATCAAATTCTGGTCTAGTCACTAGCTTTGAGCAAGTTTAGAAGTCGGGGGTGGTGAGGGTTCCAGAGGAGGTGAGAAGGGAGGTAGGAAGATGTGAAGTCCCCCACACCGGCCTTGGGAGTTGCCACCCTCAGACCCAGGTGTTGCTTATTATAAGGGACATCCACAGAGTCAGGGGAGGGAGGGGGGGTGGGGACGGGGGAAGGCTAGAAGGAAGTGAGGAAGAGAAGGAGGAGGCTCTGGCCTAGTAGGAACAGGCCGGGGGGCTGCTTCCCAGGGGCCCCTCCTCCCACTGCTGCAGCCTCAGGGCCCCCCGCGCGGCTGAGGTAGATGATGACGACGTTGTCCTCTGGCCCTGAGGGCTGTACCTCGTTGTCAACCGTGTAGCAGCCCTTACCCTCAGCCGCTTTGCCGTGGAACCTGCGCCCCAGCGCATCCTCCCCACCCTCGCCCGGTGTGGCCAGTGCCACGTTTACTGAGCTCTCCGCACTGCCTAGCTCGTTGGTGGCCAGGCAGCTGTAGGTGCCCTCCTCCAGCTTGCCGAAGTCTGGGATGAGCAGGCTGCCGTTGGCAAAGGCCTGGAAGCGAGGCCGGCCGCCGGCGGCCAGGGCCCCGGGCAGGGCACGCCCGTCGGCACCCACGTTGGGGCTGGTGATCTCCACGGTGCCACCGGGCGTCTGGATGTGCCAGTGGAGCTGGGGGGCCGGTTGCCCCTCCACGTCGCAGTGGAGGGCCAGCACGAAGCCCGGCCGCAGCTCGGCACCATCCTGGCTGGGCTGGTAGGTGAGCTGCACCGAGGGCGCAGAGCAAGGCAGCGGCAGCAGGCGGTTCAGCGGCGTGCCCTTGAGCACGTGGGGCGAAGTGCAGGTGATGTTGTCTTGCTCCGGGATGGACACGGCCGTGGTCAGGGCCCACGTCTTGAACCACACGATGCCGCAGGTGCAGTCGAAGGGGTTATCGTTGATCTGCAGGTGGGACAGAGCAGTGAGAGGCGCGAAGGTGCCTTCGGCCAGCGCGTGCAGGCGGTTGTGGTTGAGCTGCAGCGAACGCAGGGCACGAAGGCTGCGGAAGGCGTCCCGGGGGATGAAGGTCAGCTCGTTGCTGTCCATCTTGAGCAGCTGGAGGGCACTGAGGTTGTGCAGGTCGCTCCAGGCAAAGTCGGAGATGAGGTTGTGGCTGAGGTCCAGGCTCCTGAGTTGGCCCAGAGGGGCGAGGGCACCGGCGGCCACCACACGGATCTCGTTGTGCGCCAGCCACAGCGACTGCAGCAGGGGCACCTCCCGGAAAGCGCCCTCTGGCAAGCTTGGCAGCCGGTTGGCCGACAGGCTCAGCGTGGTCACGTTGGCAGGGAAGCCGGGTGGCACGGCCTCCAGGTCGCGGTAGGCGCAGTCGGCGATCTGGAAGCCGTACTTCTCGCCGCAGTCGCAGGGCTCAGGACAGGCCTGCGCTAGGCCCAGGAGGACCGCCCAGCAGAGCAAACGCAGCTCCTGCATCCTACCTCCTGCAGAGAGGGACACGCCACCAAGGTGACCCCAAGGGCCCGTGCAAGGCACTCGTCCCTCTCGGGACCCCAGCCAGACAGAGCTCTTCCCCCTCACAAGGCCCTGCCCCCACAGAATCCGGCTAAGACCCAAC